CAATTCTGAATATATTTTGAAAGTACAGCTGGTAGGACAAGAGGATTTGCTTGTGGGGGTCAAGATAAAGGAGTAAAAGATGACCTAAGAATATGTGGATGTGTTCACTTGTGTGAAAACTGTCAACTGGGTGTGGTGGTGCATGTTTGTAATCCCAGTGGCTTGGGAGGCTGAGGCAGGAGGATCATGAGTTCAAAACCAGCCTCAGCAACTTTGTGAGGTCCTAAGCAACTCAGCAAGACCCTGTCTCTAAATAAAATAGAAAAAAAGGGCTGGGGATGTGGCTCAGTGGTTAAGTGCCCCTGGGTTCAATCCCCAGTACCCAAAATAAATAAATAAACAAACAAACAAACAAATAAATAAATAAATAAATGAGGGAGTTGCAGATGGAAGAGCTTAAGTTTGTTTCTGGCCATCTGGAGCCTTGGGCATGCTGGCAAGTACTCTACCACTGAGCTACATATACCCTTAGCCCCTATTTTGTGTGTTTTCTTCACTGTGGTATCCACAGTGCTTAGAACTGTGTCTGCAGTAGATGCTCAGTAATTATTTGTGGAATGAATCAGTCAATGATGGTGTGGTGAATGAGATGCTTAGATAAGACCTGGGGTGGGGGTTGCAATAGGAGTGGGTGAACAAGTCCTGGGGAACTGATCCAGTGATCACTCAAGAGTCTCCATCAAGAGGGGTCAGAAGGACACTGGAAGTTTGACCACACATTCTAGCATTGCTCCAGAAATAGATTCCTATTTGAGTGTTATGTGTTTGTGTGTTTGTGTGAGTGTATGTGCATGCCTGCATGTGTGTGCACCCACTGGAGAGTGAGAGTGGGTGGCTGGCCTATGGTCACCTGCTCAGGTTTTAGGCCCGGGGGCACCCAGGCATACTCCTCTGATGCACAGCCTGAGTCATCATCCGAGATGGAGTGGCGCTGGAAGTCTGAGATTAGTCGACACATGATGCGTTCCAGGTCCACAGGTACTGCATGCACTGCGTGCTCCTCCCGTGGGCATTTGCAGTGCTGGCAGATCTTTCTGAGGGGGCCAAGATGGGTGGTCAGTTACCTAGGAGTAGCCTATCCAGACCCCCCTGAATCCCTTCACAGGCCAAATTCAATGAAAGAGCAGGACATGTAGATTACCACCAAAGAGCTGTGAGTATAGAGCTATGGGCCTTGGGGCTGATAGGACTTGGGGCTAAGAGTCAGGGTCTGGTTATGAGCCTGTGGCCAAGGTCATAGGGAGTAGAGTGCTGGTTATGAGGGGCCCAGCTTCTGACTGATGACAGGGCCATAAGATGTGGGCAGAGGGAACTGGAGCTGGGGCTGTGAACCTGTGTGCACACAGAATGACAAGGGGCTGTATAGGGTCTTGAGAATATCGCCTAACCTTCCTGTCTGGGACTTGGGTCAGACTCTCCGAGCAGTGAGCAAGCAGCTGGTCTGAGAGTGGTGGGACTCCAGAACTAAGAGTGAAATTCTGAATCTAGGAGCTTCCCTTCAGGAAAGGCTCCGCGCTTTGTGGGGGAACTCCCTTTCCCTTGAGGCAGGGCTCCAGCCCTGTGATGAGGCACTGAACTTGTGTGTGTTGGGGAGGTGGGCTGTGAGCACCAGTAGGAGGATAGGACACTGGCCCTGGGAGAAGAATGGAGTCCTGGAGAAAGGGGTTGGGGAGTGCATGGGCGATGCTCAGAGCCAGGGTCAGGCTTGGGGAAGCCTCTTGGGCAGGGGACTGTGTAGTAGGTGGAGCTCTCCTGGGAACAGGATTCTTTGTAATGAGTTAGGGGGCAGGGCTCTGCGCCTGAGATTGAGGCTCTTTTCCCTACAGAGATCTTTCTGTGGGCAGAGTTCAAGCCTAGGGACATGGTCTAAGCCTCCAGTAGTTTTCTCTGAGGGCAAGGCTCTGACAGAGTTGAGGTCCTGGAGAGGGTTCACTTACCTCCAGCCATGCAGCAGGAAACCGGGGCACTGCTCTCTACAGGAGTTGCAGGGCTGGCCCCGGTCTGGGTCCTCTGCCTCTGGAGGCTGTAGTAGGCGGAGGCAGACGCAGGGCCAGGCGAGGCGCCAAAGCAGAGAGGGAGAAGTCAACGCCTGCCTCTCCACTCCTAGGCCCACGACTGCACGCTGGGGCCTGTCCCACTAGGGCAGCGCTGGGCAGGCTGGGACAGCGCCTGGAGCGCGGGGGAGGAAGACAACCGAGCCAGAGGCGGGGCAACTGGGGCCACCTCCCCATATGTTCATTTTTCAAGGAATTACTCTCCCTGTGCAGTCTTTGCCTCTCCCCCAGCCTTGGACACATCCCACCAGCCTCAGATCCCTTCAGACCTCCCCCAGAATCAGGGTATTCATCCCACCAGAACAGAGTCCCAAATCTGGGCATCCCCTCCTAGGCTTCATTCCAGCAGCTTCTCCACCAAGAAGACAGCAGCAGTCAGATTCCATAGGGTAGAAATCTGAGACCCCCATTCTTCCTTGGGATCCCCACATAAACCATGCTACTCCCTTCAGAAGCTCAAGAGCCTGCCCCCAAATCCTGCCTTCATTTCCTCATATCTAAGAAACTGGGGACTGTCCCCTAGGATCTCAGGAAGCCCCTGCTCCATCCAGAAACCCCCACCCCATGAAGCCTTGGCCTTTATTCCTCATGTTTACTAGGACTATTCACTCCTTTGGATCACCAAACCTAGACCCCACCTTTCCTAGTCAAGAGACTTCCTCCAAAGGAAAAGAAAGACCCTCCCATATGGGAAGTCAAAAGCTCCCCAGGCTCAGGTGGGAGCCTGGAAGCCCTTTTACCTCAAATCCCTGTTCCTCCACCCTAAGCATTGGGGCACCCCACAAGGGTGGGACCCCATCCCTCAGTCTATTTCCCTCCCCAGGGTGTGGAGGTCTCTGCTCATCCCAGGACCCCAAGACTCAGCCTTTTGACTCTAAGAATCCCCTCTCATAGTTCCCAGGAAAAGGGACACACCACGACACAGGGTTGCTGATAAAGGTGTGCAGAGAGGTGATTTAGGAGCATGGGCCACCAGATCTATATATTCCTTTATCCAACACCTCCAGGGGCCCCAGAGCCCAAGTCTGGGAGAGCTGGGGATAGGGATTCCCGGACTCTCTGTGGGGCTTCTCCAGAGTATCCCTGTGCCCTGCGCCCTCACCTGGGCCTCAGTTTACTCCTGACCCCCACCGCTGCCCTGATTGTCGCTCACCAAACGCCCGGAGCGGCGCCTCCGGGACCCACGCGCGAACATGGCGCGTCCGGACAGGGTCAAGCTGGGCCGGGTAGGGCGAATGGAATCCTCGCGGCCTCCAGGACACGGAGCGTCAGGCCTGGGAGCTCTGTTCCGTAAACCTGACACCGGCGTGGGAGGAGTGCGCCCCGTAGGGTCCGCCCCCGGTCCCGTTGTCTCTCCGAGGCCAAAGCGCCCCCTGTCGGAAGGTGAGCTGTCCGCAGCCCGGTGGTGCCCTGCAGAAAAGCCCCCTGCCCTCTTGACCCCAGCTGAAGCAGGAGGCACAGCCTCTAGAACTCCAATGTGCCACGTGGCCTTTAGGACTGAAGTCTTTAAGTAGTGGAGGAGGGAGGTTCTTGGAGGTGGCTATCTGACTGGAAGGAGTGGTGCACTAGGGTGCTTTTATGGACGCTTTGTGTCGACTTATCTTGGATGTTTATTTGGGCAGGGGTTAAAGCCGTCTCTTGGCCCCTTACCACTGGTGAGGATCCAAAGTTCTCTTTTCCTTAAAAGAATACTGCAAGATGGGCTGGGGGTGTGGCTCAGTGGTAGAGCACTTGCTTAACACGTGTGAAGCACTGGGTTTGATCCTCAGCACCATATAAAAATAAATAAATATACTGTGTGTCCATCTGCAACTAAATAATAATAATAATAATAACAATAATAATAATAATAATAATAATAATAATAATAATAATAATGTGAGAGTGGTTCCCAATCGCATCTACAGCCCCAGCTGAGGCTCTGTGACTCTAACCAGACAGCTATACCCTTCCTATTTCCTTCTGTGGGCAAGGATTGTATGAGATTTGTGGGGAAGAGGCTAAAGTCAGCGGCTAGGTTTAAAGGCCCTCTTCCAGCTCCCTCCCCGTCCCTACAGGCCCTGCCACCATACCCATCAAGTCCAGAGAAGGAGATTTTAAAGCTTTGCCTCCCCCACCTCCATTTTTTCTGTCTTGGGGTAGATATCCCCTTCCCAGAGTTGGTTCCAGAACTGGGAGTCTCTTCCTTGGCACTCTCAGGCTTCACTGTGCCTCGGGGCTGGGAGGAGGGGGTCCTGCATCTGCAGTCAGAACTCAGACCTCAGGCGCCTAACCCAGGTCTCTAATTAGACATGGAGGGGAGCCGGTGGCGGTCAGCCCGGCCTTTCATCGTGGGCGCCAGGAACCTCCCTCAACCCCATTACACACACCTCAGTCACTTCCCTCCCCTTTTAGTCCCCGGGAGGGTGTAAAGAGAATGAATAAATTAATTAAAGAGTCACGCCAGCGCCCCACCTCCCTGATGTCTAGGTTTTCCAGCTGGGGCAGAGTCAAGGAAAAGGAGAGAGCACAGGATTGGGTAGGGTGAGGTCTCCCTGTGATGTCTCCCTAGTCAGAGCCCTTGGGGATCCGTCTGTCTGTCTGTCTGTCTGTAGTACTAGGGAGCAAACCTAGAAACTCTTACATGTTAAGCAAGTGGTCTACCACTGAGCTACATCTCAAGCCTTTCCCATGGGGATTTGAGGATAGGGCTCCACAGGAACCAGGAAGGATAGTGGCTGAGGGAACCAAACCCTTAAAAAGACCTGTCATAGCTAGCAGGTCTACTCAGAGCTTGACTTAGAATGACTGGCAGGCGAGGAGCCTTCACAGAGAGGATGTGGCAGCAGCCTGAACTGCATTCATCAGGTTTGGGTCTTAGCCTCCTCTCCCCAGTCTTTACCCGCACCCCATCTGCCCCCCCAAAAGACACATTGAGAAACTGCAGCCAGTTGGACTAGGTGGTTGAGGAGTTTATTTGGGGAGGAGAATTATTCATATTTGTTCTTCCTGGGGAGGGGGTCTTCAAACAATACCGAAGGGCAGGGTGTGGGAAAGGGGGGTCTGGAGGGGAAAGGAAGGGGCCACAGCCAGACGAAATGGCAACACACAATCACAGGCACTACCGACATCACAGACACAGCAGAGGGTGCAGGACAGGGGCTCCAGACCAGGCCTCCAACCACCCCAGATCGGGTGGAGATGTGGAGGGAGGGAGGGGCAGGGGAAGGGGGAAGAGGGGTGGGCCAGCCCCACAGACCTGCCTGGCTCTGCCCTCTGATTACCTAGCTATCTGGTCAAGGGGAGGGACAAGGGTGTGGGGGCTGTTCCTCTCTGGATCCCACCCCTCACTCTCCAAGCAAAATCATTCGTTTTTTTCCCAGACCAGCTTCCTTGGTTCCCAGCCTTAGCTAGGGCCATTTTCCCCACCCTTAACAAAACTCATCCTGCAGCTCCTAAGCACCCCCCCACCTACTACCCAAACCTGTTCAATTTAAAACACATTTTCTTCACTGTCCTATTGGGGGAGGGGCTGCCCTTTCTGAAACCACCAGGCTCACCCCACTCTAACCACACCCCTTCTGGAACCCTGACTAGGACAGTTCACCCCAAGCTTAGCTCATTCCTGAACCCCACCTCTTGCTCTACTCAAGATGTGTTCCCATTAGATCAAGTTCAGATTCTTGAATGTGCCAAGCCATACACACACGCGCACACACACACACACACACACACCTTCTATAGGCTGGTCCCAATCCAAGACCCAACCAGTCTGGAGTCCACTTGCTGGCTCACATAAACCCCCACCCCTTCTAGAGACATGCCCTGGGCCTCCTTCCAAGCCTCACCCCAGAATGCTTTAGGCACCCCTTTACTTCAGTTACTCCCTGATGACTACTCCCCTCCACTCTAGAGCTCCCTTTAAAGACCACCTTGGATCCAAGCTGTCTTCTCTACCCCAAGATTCCGGATCTCTGCCTCTCTCCTACCCTCAGGGTTGAATTTTCCTTCACAGCTTTGTTCAGGCAAGGCTGGTGGAACCAAGGCCAGAGTTAGGAGGAGGGGCTAGAGAGAGGGGAGAGAGTCTGAATTCACACCCACCCTCCCCACACAGCTGAGGTCTGTCCCCTCCCTGTCCCCCTTCCAGAGCCCCCTAAATTCAGGGGACAGGGACAGGGATCAGAGAGGGGCTGAGGAATGCAGGGAAGGGGCAGGAGTAGGGAAGAAGCCCACTCAAGACTGGGCCCCTAGTGCATGAAGGGAGAGGGGTGAGGGCAGGGCTCAGACAGATAAATAGATATTTATATATAATATATATATATATATAAACAGCAAAGACAGTTAGGGTCTCCTGGCTTGAGGGGTGGAGACCTAGGGTGTAGGGGAAGGAAGGGGGGCAGGCCTTCTCCTGAGCTCTTGCCCACCTATGGGGTCCTCCCGGGCTGCACTGACCTGTAGAGACAAAAAACACAGAAAGGAGAAAGGGTCTAAACACAGATGGCACCCTTAGGGAGGAGCTGCCCCCTTTCCCTGGGTGCTGCTGCTTTTTCCTTTCTTTCTTCACTCACAGCCCTGAAATCAGTTTCTTTCCAGCTGCCCTCATGGTGTTCCCGATCTTGAGCCCACTGGGTTAGGTACCAAAACCATTAAGGTCCCCCACTCCCAACTAAAAAAAATCCATTAACAGCTATTGTTCTAGCCACTGGGTATATACCATATTGAGCAAAACAAAGATCCCTGTCTTTATGGGGCATACCTTGTGGCAGGGGGAGACAGACTTTCCTTAATGATGCATAAATGAATTATGTAGTAGAACATAAATTCATAACATTGAAATAAAATGAAAGTGGAGTGAACAAGGGGCATGGTGTCAGCAATGGGGTCACATGGTGCCTTGGGGATCAAGCTGTGAAGACTCCATCTTTGCCTCCAGATGTGATATAAGCCATGGAATGATTTTGAGCAGGGAAGAGTAAAATGAGTAAATGTCTCATGGTGTTTCCATCATTTACTCAATAAAATGTTTTGTAGCATGAGGAGTGCTCTAAGTGATGTGTGTCCTGTATGAATAAGTTATGGTTATATTCTTCAGTCTAGGGGAAGAGACAGTGAATAAACATATACACTAATAATTATAGATCATGATAAGGAAAAGCACAGGGTACTATGAGAGAGATAACAAGGGGGATTTGTTTTAGACAGGCAAGACCTCACCGATCAAGTGACCACAAGGATGAAATGAAGCTGGCTAGGTAGATATTAATTTGTGTGGGTGTGAAACTCCAGGAGGAAAACAGGTTCAAAGGCCCTGAAGTCAGATTGTGCTTGACACATTGCAGTGGCCAGTTTGACTGAAACAGAGTAGGGGAATGGTAGGTGAGATCAGGAAAGTGAGATGGGGGTGGGGGGCTAAATGTGTAGGGATTTAATGTACATAGTGAAAACTTCTAGTTTTAATTCCAATGAGATGGGTGGGATGGGAACTACAGCTTACTTCTAAGTACAGGAGGGCCATGAACTAATTTAGGATATAACAGAATCACTCGGATACGGCATAGAACAAAATAAAAATGGGGGTGCACACCTGTGAAGAGGTCCAGGGGAGATTACAGTAAGAAGTGGAAAGACTATGGAATTATTTTGATGGTAGGGCCCACAGGGTTCTTTGTTGAATTAGATGAGAGATGCTTTAATAAATCCCCTGCCTTTTGCTTCCTAGCTAACCCAGTACCAGAAACTACCTCTACCCACAGTTACAACTTCCTTGCCTTCCTGCCCCCGCCCCCAACTCAGGGAAATCTTTTTTTTTGGCAGTACTGAGGATCAGATTCAGGGACACTCTATCACTGAATTACATTCCAGCCCTTTTTATTTTGAGGCAGGGTCTCACTAAATTGCAGAGGCTGCGCTCAAACTTTCAATCATCCTCCTTCAGCCTCCAGAGTAGCAGGGATTGCACCAACACCAGATGACTCAATTCTCTCTTAAGGCACAGCAAAAAGATCGGTAAGCCATGCCGAGCACGGTTGTGCAAGCCTGTAATTCCAGTGACCTGGAAGCCTGCAGCAGGACTGCAGGCTAACCTGGATAATTTAGCGAGACCCTGCCTCAAAATAAATAATAATAAAAATAAATTAGGGGGCTGAGGCTCAGAGGTAGAGCGCTCGCCTCGCGGGTGTGAGGCTTTGGGTTCAATCCTCAGCACCATATAAAAATAAGTAAATAAAATATTGTGTTCATCTACAACTAAAAATTTTTTCTAATTAATTAATTAAAAAGTGTAGTTTAGTGGTAGGCCAGCCCTGGGTTTAATCCTCAATACTGCAAAAATAGTAAGTTAAAAAAAAAATGTCGGTCAGCCTTCCCAAGCACCCCCCCCCTTTTCCTCCTTTGAAATTCCACACCATATCTTTAACCTCGAAGACTTGGGAGAGGTGGCATATCTACCACCTCCTCTGGCATAGGTGAGCTCGTCTGACCTTCAAGACTCAAGCCGTTTACACTCAGCATCTATTGGCTTTACCACCTATTGGCTAACCTGTCACTTCTAAGACCCACCTCTTCCGCAGAGCCGCCCCTCTGACTATGCTTTACTGCGCAAGTCCTCCTGTGATTCCCTCTTTTCATTGGTCTCTCTGTCTACTTGTTTCACCCCTTCCTTCCCGCGGAGCTGCACTTCTCCCTCCCTCTCATTGGCTTGTTATTCCGCCCATCTTCAAGTACCACTCTCTTGTTCTCCATTCATTGGCTAGCTTTTCTACTCAGGTATCTTTATTGGTTCCTTCACACTTTAACCCTTACTCGTGGGCAAATGTTCTATGTACTGTCCATTCCTAACTCTTATTGGTTCACTGACCCACCCATCTCCTTTCATGTACCCTCTTTGGCCATATCACCCGCCAGTCACTCACCAGGTTACATCTGATTGGAGAAGGAGGTGGGCGCACCCTGTGGGCCGTAGCCTTGCTGCCCATAGTCGCCCTGAGGCCCGTAGCCACCGCCACCGCCGCCGGCTGGCTGCCCGTAGTCGGGCTGGTAACCACCCTGGGGCCCGTAGGAGTCCTGGGGCCCATACCCGCCGGGGCCCTGCCCGTATCCTGCATCGCCGTAGGCGTCCCCGGGTGCTGGTTGCTTCTCAGGGGCGCCAGGTGGTGCACGCAGGAACGGGGCGGCCCAGCCTGTCTCCTTAAACACAAACCACAGGTTGCCGACCCAAAGCACCAGGTTCAGGAAGCCGAACACCTGCAGGGAGATAAGGACTTGCTGTAGTCCCCTGCCCACTACCTTGGGAGCCTGAGGGGACTTCAAGGCCATGCGCACAGGAATGGGCTTATAGTGCTTGAATTTGTGGACTCCTGGACGGTGGTGGTTTCTAAAGTCCTGACTGAGGTCCCAGGGTTGAATGTCAATGTGCAGAAACATCATCTTGGGCATAGGATGCATGTTAGAATTAAGATTCCTGGGGATGTGGAGCTGTATCAGCATTCCATATACAAGTATTTATCTATTTGCACACATTACATATACATGTTTACACATGTATAAATTATAGTAAATTTAAATTTGTAATATGTTTATCATAAGATGTAAGCATACTTTTTTTTAAACTAGGTTCTGAACCCAGGGCCTTGAGTATGTGTGCTCTACCACTGAACTGCAGCCTTATTTTAATTTCAAGACAGGGGCTTGATAAGTTGTCCAGGCTGGCCTCAATTTGGGATTTTCCTGTCCTAGTTTCCCTAGTAGCTGGGATTTCAGGATTGTGCGATCACACCTGGATATAAACATACATTTTTTTTTATTAAATATGCCACTAACAGGGCTGGGGATGTAGTTCAGTGGTTGAGCACTTGCCTAGCATGCACGAGGTCCTGGGTTCAATTTCAAGTACTGTCAAAAACTAATAAAGAAGCTGGGTGCAGTGGTGCATATCTGTAATCCCAGCAGCTTGGGAGGCTGAGACAGGAGGATCGTGAGTTCAGTCAGTCTCAGCAATGGTGAGGTGCCAAGCAATTCATTGAGACCCTGTCTCAAAATGAAATATAAAATAGGACTGGGGATGTGACTCAGTGGTCCAGTGTCCCTGAGTTCAATGCCCAGTACCAAAATAATTAATTAATTTTAAAAAACAAAAGAATAGTTTACTAACAAATGTGCACACACACACATGAATACACAATGTGTACAAATTCATATGTAATTATTCATGTGTAAAAATATGTAATTATGTACTGTTATATTAAAATATAGATACATGGGAGCCAGACCTGGTGGCACATGACTAGTCCCAGTGACTCTCGAGACTGAGGCAGGTGGACCACAAGTTCAAGGCCAGCCTGTACAACTTTGTAAGACCCTCAATAAAAAATAAAAAGGGCTGGGGATATACCTTAGTGGTAAAGTGCCCCTGGCTTCAATCCTCAGTACCACAAAAACAAAGCAAAAATATATAAATATATTGAATGTATAAAAATATTTTAAAAACATAAAACCTTTCATATATCTTTTGCTATATATTGCGCCCACTTCTAAGTGCTTTACATGTTATTAATTAACTTACAATTCCTTTTTTTTTTTTTTTTTTTTGGTACTAGGAATTGAACCCAGGGGTACTTTACTACCGAGCTATATTCCTAGTCCTTTTTTTTTGTTTTGAGACAAAGTCTCACTGAATTTCTTAGGCCCTTGCTAAATTGCCTAGTCTGACCTTGAACTTTCCATCTTCTTGCCTCAGACTCCTAAATTGCTGGGATTACAGGCGTGTGCCACCATCACCAGCAAAATTTCATTTTTAGGACTGAGTTGTGGCTTACTGGTAGAGCACTTGCCTGACATATGTGAGGCACTGGGTTCAATCCTCGGAACCACGTAAAAATAAATAAATAAGATAAAGGTATTATTTTAAAAAGTTCCTTTGTAGTTAGGAAGTAAAATCTCCATTTTATTTTACCTAAATTTTTCCTTATTTATTTATTGAGACTGGGCCTGGCAAAGTTGCCCCAGCTGACCTCAAACTCCTGGGCTCAAGTGATCCTCCTGCCTCAGCCTCCAGAGTAGCTGGGACTACAGGCCCATGTCACCACACTTGGCTGATATTTCTAATTTATTTATTTAATTAATTTATTTGGACCTGGAAATTAAACCCAGGGGCACTTTACCACTAAGCTATAGCTCTGGCCCTTTTGATTTTTTAAAAATTTTGAGACAGTGTCTTGCTAAGTTGCTTAGGGCCTTATTAAGTTGCTGAGGCTGGCCTCCAGCTTGCAGTCCTTCTTACTTCAACCTTCCGGGTTGCTGGGATTGCAGGTGTGCCCACTATGCATGGCTGATATTTCCATTGCTTTAAACAGAGGAAATTGAGGCCCAGAGAAGCTAAGTTACCCAAGGTCTCAGTCAGCAAGTAATTGAAAGAAGAGTTAGAATCTTGGCACCTGTAACATTTGTATGCAATTTACATTGTGCCAGGCCCTTTTCTAAGCACTTTGTATGTTATTAGTTCATGAAATACTCAAGTTTGGAGCAAAACCAATTATTAGTCTTCAATTTACATGCTCAAACAGCCCCGAGAGGCAGTGTGACTAGCTTTAGGTCACAGAGCTCATAAGTGGCAGAGCTAGGATTTGAATTTATAAGTAGGGAAACATTTCAAGTTATTGTTTCCTTTTGCACATAAGAAAACCAAGGTTCCACGAGGATACTGAGTTGTGGGAGATTCTACATGACAAGGTTGGGTCTGGGATCCAAGTTTCTCAAATTTAATATGGATAGAAGGCTTCCTGTTCCCCACTAGGGGACAGTATGTGCATCCCTGTGTTATCTCATCCTTCAAGACTCTGTTGTTGGTATGCCTCCTCCAGGGATCCTCCTTGGATCTCTCCTGACTGTCCTCTCATTTTCACTTTCCAATGCTCCCTATGTCAAACTGGAAATTTCCCAGGCTCCCTTCTCAAACAGTTCCAGTTTCCCAGGGCTTACCACTGAGGTGTTGAGTCCTGAGGTCACAGGGTCCCTCAGCTCCTTGCATGTGTTGCCTGTCTGGCGGCAGACATCCATCTCCTTGATAATGTTCTCTGGGTCTGTGGCCATCTTCACATCTGAGAGTCCCTTGGCCCAGGCGGATGAGCTAACTAGCCACATGAAGGCAAACACCGCTGTGGCTAGAAAGTCCTAGGGTGGACAGAGGTGAGGAAGGTGGCATTGTGAGTGGGCTACTTCACACTGAACCCTCCTGGGATCAGAACCTTTCTTGGGAGGGAGGGTCCCCCACAAGAGGCCTCTCTCTCCCCTGCCTTTTCAGCTGGGAAGCCTACAACATTTTCACCTGAAGGTGGCCCTCCCAGCTTCAGCTTGTGTGAGTTTATGTGACACAGAGGATGTGGGAGTTTGATTGTGATGTGTGGGTGCAGGTGTTGGGGAGGAACTCTGTGGGATGTTTCCGAATTTGTGGGAAGTGGTGTGTCTTTCCACTTTCATCTGCATGTGGGAATTTGTGTCATTTGATGTCTGGGATGAGGGTATGTGAGTACAGCTGTGTAGGAATCTGTCTGTGTGGCAGGATGACATGCATGACTGTCACAGTGAACCTCTGCATGCACCTTCCTTTGATCTAGACTGCGTGGTTGTGAGAGAAATGGTAGGTTCACTGGTGTAGGCCTGTCTGGGATTTTTTGTAGACTGTGAGTATGGCCCTGGGGCCCTATGGCTCCCTCACTCCCTGATACCCAGTGTGGACTCAAAGAGACAGCAGCAGCAGTAACGTGTGGCTGTTATGATGGCTGCTTCCATATGGGCCTGACAGTTGGTGTGGCCTATGAACAAAATGAATTTTGTCCCCGAGGTCTTGTGTCCCCCAGACTCTACATACAAACAGCAGGGGACTCACCATCATGGGCCCTTTGTTGTTCTCTCGGTACTTGTTCTGCAGGAAGATGTAGGTGGCCAGAGCCCCCATGGAGTAGAGGAAGGCAAACACAGCCACAGTGACAAAGAATTCAGCAGAAGAGGAGTAGTCCCCCACTAGGAAGACCTTTGTGGTGCCCCCTCGGCAGTTGGGTGCATCAAAGTACACTTGGTGCAGCCTGCAGAGAGAGGTGGGCAGGTGTGGTACAGCCCCTGAGAATACTGTCAGCCCCCTGCCCAGTCATGGGTCTACCCGATTCTGACAAAATCCCAGGAAAGGGAGGGAATGACCATTCACAAAGCACCTGTGATGTACCCAGTCACATTTCACTGACTGATCAAAAGCTTTCTAGTGAGAAGGGTTATCCATGCTCCACTCCAACCTAGGCACTCTTGTCTCTTGGTTATTCCTAGAACTTGCCAGTCATCCTCTTAACTCAGGATCTTTGCACTGGCTGTTCCTTTTGCCAGGAATGCTCTTCTCTTAAATATCTTCATGTCTTACTCCCCCATCTTCTTCAAGCTTTGCTCTGTTGTCACCTTCTTAGTGAGGCCTTCCCAGAAATCACTATTTAAAAATTAATTAAACCATTTGCTCCCCGTACTCCTTAACCCCCTTCCTTGTTCCATTTTTCTCTGAAGCTGTGATCACCACATAACATACCAGGGATTTGTTTTGTTTTGAGCTTACTTATCTTGATTTATGCTGTAATTACAAGAGGGCAGGGCTTTTTCTTGTTTGGTTCATTGCTGTATCCCCAGTGTCTGGAGGACCCCGGAGCACATAGTAGGTTTTCAAGCAGTATTTACTCAATAAAATGTACAGGGGTAAAAAAGGCTCAGAGAACTGCATTAAATTGACCAAAGTCACAAAGCTGGCAAGGGAATGGCAGAATTGGAGCTGAATCCTGTCTTCCCCCTATATCTTGCTCATTCTTCTCCCCATCCCACTTCAGGTTCCTGAGAGAGGAAAAAAAATGTATGCATAGCAGAGGATAGCCCAGTGGCTACAAAGTAGGAAAAGACAGAAAGGAGGGTAGAAGGGACATTGGAACGGGATGTTTGTATGTGAGACAAGGACAGTCTGGTGAAATGGAGGAAACTGTAGGGGTAAAGGCCTGGAATGGGGGTCCAGAGCTCTGACCTCAGACTGGGGGCAGGATTCTGAGACTGAGCAAATGGTGTCAGTGTTTTTGTATAGCAGAGTTCCTGAAGGAGGAGGCTTAACATTTATTGATCACCTACTAAACAGTTTATATATCTATCTAATTTAATGATGCCTTTCTAGCAATTTCTCTAAAGTGGGCATTACTAGACTCATTTTACAGGTGAACAGAGGCTTAGCAAGGCTATTACTTGTCCAAGGCTATTACAAGGAATTGAATCTGGGTTTGAGTTTCCATTTCCAGTGGGCTGGGTTTAGAGAGGAGGTACCCAAAGGGGAATGAGGGATCCTTAGGGTGTATCAGGGCACTGAGGAAGGCTTGTTCAGCAGGACTTGGGACAAAGACTTCTTTGAGGGAGACTTTTGGGTAAAGGGCAGATCCTTCTGTCCTGAAGTCCTAGGCATTGGGGAGTCCATAGGGAGCTTTTGTGATGTGGATTCGCAGAGGGTCAACTTTAAATAGTTTTCTATGCTGCCAACTACCGCTTCTTCTCCCTGGTTTCTATGATCCAGTGGATCCCTGTTTGCTCCTCTACCTCTCAGGTCATGCTTTCTCGGTGCTTCTACTTCTTTCCATCATTATTCAGGGTCTGGGCTGGGATTTCCTCTATTTTAACTGTTCCTACTTCCCACTGAGTGATTTCTTGGGTTGACATTGACATTTAGGGTCCAAAACCCCCAATTTCCAACTCAATGCCTGGCCTCCTTCCTTGCATTCCTAAAACTGGTTTCTTTTACTTATTTAGCCAACACTTCTGGGCACTTTTTCAGTACTGGAGATTAAACCCAGGGCTTTGGGCATGCTAGACAAGTGCTCTACCACTTGGCTACACTACCAGTCCTTTTTACTTTATTTTCAAACATAGTCTCAATAAGTTGCCCAGACTGGCCATGAACTTATGATCCTCCTTCCTCAGCCTACTGAGTTGTTGGTATTACAGGCCTACACCACTATGGCTGGCTCTTAGCAAGCATTTCCTGTGTGCCAGGCACTAAGCTAACCATGGTGCAAGTATTAACTCATTTATGACTTCCCAAAACCCTGTGGGATAGGCATTATTATCATCCCCAATTACAGATAAGGAAGTTGAGACTCAGAGTGGTTATGTGATTTGGCTAAGTAGTGGAGGAACCTCAATGGAAATTGTGTCTATAGGTCGATCTCCCCATCCCTCAGGAGATAGTAACCATGCCAGCTATGCTCACTCTTGGACACCTAGGATCCTGCACAGAGCCCAGCACACAATGTAAGCTCAATAAATGCCAGAATCGTTTAACTGGGTATCATCATTCCCCATATCTAAGCAGCACCTACTCATTTTTCACTATTAGAAAACCCTGCATGAGGATCGCCTCCTAGAGTTTCTTTCCATTTGCAACTATCCTCTTTATCAATTTGTTTGTTATCATATAGACTCCACATGGGTAGGGAGCATGGTGTATTTTAGTCACTTCTACATCCCTAGCACTTTGAGCAGTATCTGGCAAACAACAGATTCTCAAAAAATGTGTATGGAATGGATGAACGAATGGAGAATAAATAATATTGATTGAGCACCTACTGTGTTTAGATTTATATCTTTTACTATTTTTTGTTTTGGTTGTGCTGAGGGTCAAACCCAGGGATTAGGCAAGTGTTCTACCACGGAGCTACATCCCTGGCCCTGCATTTTACTTTTTTTCTTTTGTGGTACTAGGAATTAAACCCAGTGGTATTCTATCACTGAGTGACATCTCCAGCCATTTTTATTTTAAGACAGAATCTTGCTAAGTTGCTCAGTCTGGCTTCGAACTTGCAATCCTCCTATCTCAGCCTCCAGAGTAACTGGGATTACAGGTGTGTTACTTTTTAATCTTGTTTATTTCCTGTCCCTTACCCTTTTCCTTCACTAGAACAGAGCCAGAGGGTGACAGCCTGTGTCTGTCTTGCTCACCACATGGTCCTAGATGTCCAAAGGAGTGCCAGGTACACAGCAGGTGCTCAGTGCATGGGCAGTAATCCCAGTGGTTATGACCTCTTGAGGTGGGGGCTGGGCAGAAGCCACTGGGTAGGAGGTATTAGCCAGTCCCACCCCACCCTTGCCTTTCCCAGGTCTGTTGGGATCCCAGGGTGGGGTCACACCTGAAGGGGTACTCAAATTCAACCTCGATGCTGAGGTCACTCTCCGTCTTGTTGGCACACTCCACGCTCAGCCGGAGCTCCCCGTTGTAGCTGCCGCATGTGGCAAAGGCGAAGATGGCAAAGACCTTGGGCAGCAGGGATGGGGATGGTCATATTGAGCTTGTCTGCATGTGGGAGGGGGGGTGCCCTCGTCTGGGACAGATGGGGGCCCAGCATAGGCAGCAGCAGATGGAGAGGTCCCCACCCCCATCCCCTAATCAGGGCTCATAGTCACAAGCTGATTACAGGGGTGTGGCTGTCTCTTCCTGTTTCTCCCTTTCCCTGTGCCTCTCTGTCTCTACCCCTCTATGCTCTGATGTCCTCCTCTCTTTCTTTTTCTGTGTGTCTTACTGTGTTTCCATATCTTTCTATATCTCTTTTTCTCTATATGTCTTTGTCTTTCTCATATGTCTGTCTCTCTGTGACTCTGATTTTCTGCCTCTCCTGTCTCTAGGTGTCTCTTTTTGCTCTCTCTGTATGAGTGTATGTCTATGTCAGTGTCTTTCAGTTTCTTGGTCTGTCTCTGTCTCTCTGCTGTCTCTCATGAGGTCTCCATATGGTCCTCTCTCTGTCTCCCTCGTATCTCTTTTTCTTTGTGTTAGTTTCTCTTTATTTCTGAGAATCTCTCTGTCTCTTTCTCTACCCCACTCTATTTTCCTTCCTCTCCCTGTGTCCATTTCCATTTGCATCTCTGTTCTCTGTGCATCTTTCTCTGATTCCCTTTTCTTGTCTGTTTGCCTTTCTCTCTCATTTCTTTTCTTTTTTTTCTCAGTAGTTCCATCTCTATCTCCATCATTTCTTGTCTCTATTTCTGTCTCCTTTACTGTGTCTGGGTTTCTCTGTCTTTGCATCTCTCCCCAAGCAATCAGCTTTAGGCTCCACCTCCCCCACCCTTCCCTCACTTCAAAAAAGGATGTAGGACGTCACAATATGCCACTTCAGGACGGGGGTACCCTCAGCCTTATGTGACGTCACAGTCCATCCTTTCCTTGGCTTCAAACCCCTGGGACCTCACCCTCAAGCCCAATTCCCTTATCCCCTTCCAATGTCCATCCATTTGTTGGCTCCCACCCCTCCTCCTCCCTGGTTCTTCTGGACCCCCACTACCTCTGGCTCTCTCTTCAGTGTTCCTCACGACCCAGATCACACTCACCCATTGCAGCACCTTCACGAAGCCAAGGGGCTCCTTGATCACCCGGAACTGACCCCCAGCCACCAGCTGAGGAGAGAGAGTGGGGACGGGTGGGGTTGGGGGAAATGGACAGGAAGGTAAGGGGAAAAGCTATCAGGTGATGACCCCTGAGGATAGGGCACGTGACCTCTGGGAGGGGGAGGCATTTGGAAAGGGGGTGAGAAGGAAAAAGTGACATCTTGGGGAAGGTATGAGCACCAGGGTCTCTGTGAAAAGACCCTCAGGGTTCAAGTCTAGTGGAGAGCTCTGAGGTGATAGTGGGTCAGATGGCAGAAGAGTTCAGAGGTGAGAAAGACAGGGATGGAGTCTGGACCACTTAGGGAAGGTAGGTGTGAAATCCTTAAAGGTGAATCAGATGGGGAAGAAGGTCGGTGAAGAAGGTGAGGAAGGAGTTGGGGTTCACTAGGGTTGGGGGAAGGGGTCTTGAGTGGTGAAGGTGAGTCATAATAGGGCGGGAGGTGGGTTGTCTAAAGTGGGGGAGCAGTCCACAGGAGTAAAGGTGAGTCAGATGGGGGAGGTCTGAGGAGATGAGGATGAGGAGGGGTTGGTATTGGTTAGCGAGGGGGCGAGGTTCTGAGGTGGTGAACCAGAGTGAGATGGCGGAGAGGGTCTGGACTGATTAAGGTGAGGGAGAGCTGGGACATGGCTTCACTGCATATGTCTTGTGGGAGAAGAGATTGGGGGGTTTGGAGAGGCAAAATCGGATCGTCCGCCTAGGTCTGCCCTGGGGAAAGGAGTGGTCATCTACTGGGGTGCAGTCTGTTTGGGAGGGGCGGGTGCCAGCCCTCCCCCACCCCACCCCCACACCTTCTGTCGCTCTATTTCCTAGCTCATCCGCAGCCCCCCCGAGTCTCCCTTCCACTCTTCCCTCCCTTCCCCCCTTTTCTTTCCCCCAACCCCAAGACCCCGTCATGCTCCCTTCGAGGTAGCCGGTAATGATCAGAGATTTTGGTGGCCTCCGCTGCGGCAATGAGGATGGCCCTCGCTGCGGCAAAGAGCGCACTCCTTCTTTTTTCCACCTCCCTCGTCCTCCCTCGCCTGCCGCAGACCCCCAGCCCCAGCACCAGGGAACAGGTCTCTGTTGCCAGGACCACCTCTCAGAGTCAGGGGGTCAAAGTGACCCGAGTCCGGAGGCCTGGAAGCAGAGGGTTCTGTCCGCGGTGCTGGAGCGCGTACCTGATTCACCACGTCCATGTCTGCCAGCAGCAGCATCAGCAATGCAGGGGGCGGGAGGTGCCTGCTAGCAAGGGCGGGCGCGGGGCGCGGCGGGGGCGGTGCGCGATCATTGGAACAGCCCAGGCGGCGGCAGCCCCGCCCCTCGCATCCCCCTTCGCTCGCGCCTGCGCACAACAGGTCGTTTCCCAGTCTCACCGGCCGCCATTCCAGCCTGGAGGCTGGAGACAGGAGAGCGTTTTGGCAACATCTTTCTCTCTGAAAAGACAGCTAGAGGACTGGGGTGAGGAGGACCGCTCATTTCTACAGTATTATATTTTGCCAGGCCCTTTCCTGAGTTTGTTAAAATGTTCACTCATTTAATCCCTGGGTAGGAGGGACTATGAACCGTGTTTTTACAGAGGAGGAAAATGAGTCCCCAGGGAGGCTAAGTGACTTGCACAAGGTCACCCAGCTAGTAATTGGCAGTGCTCAGAGTCTCTGCAGTTTAAACATAGTTCAAGGTCCTGAGGGTTCTGAAAGTCTGGATTTTAAGTACATCCAAATAAACCTGCTCTTCCCTCCTCTCATCTCATTTTTCTCTTCCTCTTGGTCAAATCCTTGCCTACTCCAACTCTGCAGTTTAGTTCCTATTTATTCCTTGTTATTCCTTCCTATTTATTATTTATTAAGCAATCTCTTAATTTGACCACCCTTCCATGCTATTAAAACTAGGCCTATCAAGGTCAATAGTGATTGCCATGTTGCAAAATCGAGTGGATGAAATAGAGTTGGGGCTTAGGATGTTCAACCTCACTCATGCTAAGAGGAGCACACATAAAAAATTACTAATACTAAATGCTAATAAAGCAGTACATCATTATACCTGATAACAGTGGCTGCCACCAGAGGAAAAGGAAACTTTTCAATTTAACCTCTTTGTAGCTTTTGAATTTTGAAACATCAAAATGTATCCTTTTTTAAAAAATATTTTTTTAGTTGTAGATGGACACAATAACTTTATTTGTTTTGATGTGGTGCTGAGGATTGAACCTAGTGCCTCACATGCAAGGCACGTGCTCTACCACTGAGCCACAACCCCACCCCACCCCCTTATTTTTAAAACACATAAATCATTCAAATATGTAATGGATGCTTCCTAGTTGTTACCTTATGAAGGGAAGCAGTGTACAGGAGGGGTGAAGAGCATGGGATTTGACATTCAGCTGCTTGAATTTGAATCCCATCTCTAATATTTATTCCTCTTTGACCTTGGGCAAGGAAGAAGGTTTAAAATGATGTGTATAGGGTTGTTGTACTGATTAAACACAATAATCACTGTAATGTTCTTAGCACTGGGCACAAGAAATGGTTAATTTTTATCTCTTTCACTTCTCTGGAATCCATTCACTTCTTGCTGTCTCCTCTGTCACCTTCCTTAGCTAAGGCGACCATCATTTCTGCCAATTTTAGCATCTCCAGTCTCTTCCCTCCCTTCTGTTTTCAGCACAGCCATCAGAGCATCTATTTAAAATGCAATGTTAACTATGTCACTACCCTACTCAAGTCCCTCCCATGGTTCCACATGCTCTAAATCCCACATCTTGGGTCCTAGCATTCAAGGCTCTACATGATGTGGCCTCAGGTGGTCTCTCCTACTTATCCCTTAGCAGTCTTCTTTCACTCTCTATGGACTGCCCACGATTTGCTATCCCATCAGTCCAAACACTTCAAGCCTTTGTTTCAAGGCCTAGGATAACTCTCTGGAATCCCAGTCTCCAATTTTGGCTTCCTCCAAATTTCAGTCCTGATGTGATTGACACAAATGATGTAAGGTGTGTAGCATTGTCTTGTGTTTGAGCCAGTTCATAGTTCATAGTTCCCTGAGAGAAACCCAGAATGGTGCCTGGCACATAGCTAATGCCTGATAAGCTTTCCCTGGATGAATGACACCGCACAGTTGGGACAATGAGTACAGGTGGAACAAGAAGCAGAAAAAACGGAGCTTGGGGATCTGTATGGGAAGAGAATGAGTGACTCTCATGTGATTTGAAGAAGGCCAGGGGGCTCCTGAGTGAGTTCTCTGAGATGGGAGCCCCACCCCTTGCTGTCATCTATATCTTCTACCAATGAATTTAGGTCTTCTTCTCTTTCTTGGGCAGAAGGTGGGAGGCAGAAGACAGCATGATACCACTTTTAGCCTCTCTAGAATTTCTGATGCCATCAGAGGACCCCTCTGCCTAAGACACTCACATACCAGACCAGCTCCAACTTCCAGGCCTTACCAATGGCAGGACTCTCCTATGGCTTTCCTTATCCTTTCCTTCTTATCTGTGTGTCCTTCCTCAGTTTAACCTGACTGACCTCTTGAGAATCACTACCCCCCTAGCCAGGCACCAACCCTCACATCCTCTCTCCCCCCCTTCCTCCATTTCTACCCAGTGCCCTCCTCCTCCCCTACCACCTCCACTCTGTCTCTAGCTTTTTTTGGCTGCTGTCTCTTCTTCCTCCTCCTCCCTCCTTCCCTGACGCTGAATAATCAGGCCTAGCTGTCCTGGTTTCTGGAAATACCCATGTGTGGGCAGTGGCTCAGGGCTGGAACCAGGGATGGATGGATGCATAGGGACCTCTGGGCAGCTTCAGGCCCCTAGAAAAAAATACACCAAAGTATAGCAGTGTGTGGTCCATGCCTGTCTCCCTCTGGGGAGGGGAGGGCAGGAGGTTTATTGAGCAGTGGGGGAGGGATAAGTATTCAGAGGGCATGGACACAGGCCATTTCATCTCCCAGGTCCTCCTCATCAAAGCGGGAGAGGATGGACTCCTCATCACTATACAGTGAGCTGGTCCCCTGTGCCAACAGGTCACTAGCAGCACTGTCCATTTCATCCAGTGTCAGGCGACATGCATCTGCGATCTCCTTCTTGGCCAGGGCCACGAAGCGTGGGTCTCGGGCAAAGAGGCCTAGGCCTTCAGAGATGAGTACCTGAGGGCACATAGGTGGGATCAGTGTGACAGTGTATACAGAGGGGACTGTGGATTATATGATGTGCCCATGAGGACATATAGGGAAGTCAGTGGGGGACAGTGGTTGTACATTATGAAGAACATGCACAGCGCAACCTGGGAACCCCTTCCCCCCCTCCTCCAGGTTCTGCCACCTCCCTTTCCCCAGGCCTCTTGCCTATACCCCCTCTGTACTCACAGCCTCCACCAAACTGTCAGCACTGCCTCTCTTGCCATGGCTGGGGTCCGAGCGAGATCCAGGCACATGCAGACAGGTAAAGGTACGCAGTGGACCACTGGATTTGCCGAGGTATCCCTCCCCTGCTGCACCCTCCTCCACCAACAGCAGTGGGGCGTATAGGAGCCGACCCCTCCGAGGAGGGGTTGCCCAGGAACCCTGGACCAGAATAAATATCAGAGGTGCAGAGATTGATGGGTGACCATGAGGGTCTAGGACTCACTCCTGTGAATGCTGTCCTCCTCCCCCAACACACAACTGGAGTCAAAATGAATGGGTGTAAATTATTTATGTGTTTATTTGAAGTGCCATGCAGGGGGACAGGGCCTTGAGCATGCTAGGCAAGTGTTCTACCATCGAGCCACATCTCCAGCCCCAGAATTGAGTTTATGTCAGAGCCTAAGATTGTCTCTGTCACTTACTAGCTATATGATCTTGGATGAATACATTCCTTTGGGCCTATTTCCTTATCTGTAAACTGGGGGTAGTGTTACACACCTCACAAGTTCAGTGAGAATTATGTGCATTCCTCCATGAATGCCCTGTTCAGAAAGTCCTGACATGCAGTGTATTTGATAAGTTCAGTCCAGGCTGCTCCCACTCTTTCAGACCCAGGACCCCCTCCTCCCTTGCCTCACCTGAGCCCTGCTGGGCCCTGTGTTTCGCCCCCGATGATAGGTGCCTGGGATGGGTAAATCTTCACAACTGCCCTGGCGCTGCAGACACTGGATGGTGAAGGAGGGCTTCCGGCCTGAGGGTTAAGAACAATGGCATTCTTTCCCTGGCTTGCTCTTCTGCTGGACCTTGGGGGGTGGCCCTAGAGTCCATTCCCACTCTTACCTGCAGGAGTGGGGGGCAGCAGACGTCTGCGTGGTGCATTGTGCCCATTTACATATCTCTGGGGTTGGTGAGGTGGCAGAAGGGCTGGGTGTGGGGGAGCCTCTCTCTGCTCATCCAGATAAGAGAGCCTGTGCAGAAGGGGGAGATGGAGGTGAATCCATGTCTGGAACTTGGAGATGGAGTAACAACAGTCCTGCCCTCTCCCCCACAGCTCATGGGCTCATCCAACGTGATACGGCCAGTGTACCGGTCAGGGATTTCCTCTTCCTCAACTTGCTTGTTTTGCTCTTTAGTTTCCTTGGGCTGAGAACTTCCTTCTTCTGGGATGGTGAACATGAAAACCCCAGAGCTTCTCCTGGGAAAAGTGAGGCATATTTGGTAGACCAGATACTCCCAAATATGTGGCTCTGAGTCCTTGGCTACTATTATACCATGCCCCATCTTCTATACAAATATTGGGCTTAACACTTAAATGAAAATTCATATAACATAAAATTTATTATTATTATTATTATTCTAAGGATAGAATCCAGCATCTTGTACATGCTAGACAAATGCTCTATAACTGAGAATTGAGTGCTTTACCCCAGCCCTTTTTATTTTATGTTATTTATTTATTTATTTATTTATTTTTGATACCTAGGATTGAACCCAGGGTTGCTTAACCACTGAGCCACATCCACAGCTCTTTTTACTTTTTATTTTGAGACAGGGTCTCACTAAATTGCTTAGGGCTTCACTAAGTTGCTGAGTCTGGCTTGGAACTTGTGATCCTCCTGCCTTACCCTTCTAGGCTGCTGGGATTAAAGGCATGTACCACTGCATTGGTCTCTGTTATTCATTTTAACATGAACACAGGTTTACTTTTAAAAAAATATTTATTTTTTAGTTTTAGGTGGACAAAATATCTTTATTGTATTTTTCTGTGGTGCTGAGGATTGAACTCAGTGCCTCATACATGCTAGGCAAGCGCTCTACCACTGAGCCACAATGCCAGCCCCCAGGCTTACGTTTTAATACATATTTGTCTCATTAGAAGGATCC